TCACTTTTTTTTTTTTTTTTTTTTTTTTGTTTTGAAACAGCTGAAAGCGGGTATATCCTGAAGAATCAAGTGGCTGTAGGGAAAACTTATTAACTCGACAAAATTTCTTACCGAAGAAATTGTTCGGATCATATCACCATAGCATTACAAAGAATCTTTTTATTTGTGAAAGGTATTAGGAAGAGGCCTTAGAATATTAATTGTCAATAAAACACCAAAGAAATACATAACCATAGTCGTACGATACCCGCTTCTTAAACCTATATTTCATTTCCTTTAACTCAACACACATCGCGAAAATTAAATTTAAAATTCGCTCAACATATACATGGAGTTTAAGGCGTACATCGGCGCAGCTAAAATTTCGCAATCAAGCGAAAGAAGCGAAGTGACACCAAAAGTCAAATGTTGACAATCGAAAGCTGGCATGTCACTAGGCTAAAAGTGAAATGACAAAGCGCGTACCGTGCAATGCCAGCCTCGACAGAGCCGCGAGCCTTAAACCTTTGACACTTTCATTTATTTATTATTCCTTTGCAAAAACAAAAAACAACAACAAAGTAAGCAGTATTTTATTTCCAGCTATCTTCGCATTCGTGCGTCACCAGCAACAACGCTGCGTCGTTTATTTCTCGTTCACATTCCACAGATTTATCGTGCGCGCATAAAAGTATGCAAAAAAAAGCGAAACAGAAATGAAAGTCAAACTGTGTAACGACGAGTGTATTTCAAAAATAAAATTGTAATTATTTAGAAAGCAGTGACATTTTTACAACATAAAATGTCAGTGCGTGTAAATCAAAAGGTCATAAAATGGTACATGCGGCATGTCGGCGTGTAGCGAAAGTTCTGGCACAAGCAAAAACAAAATTACAATTGTGTGAGGCACAATTCTGTCTAATGGCACCAGTTATTTGAACCGTTTAATGGCACAGCGGGTGAGCTGTTCTTGGGCTCATATGTGGCACAAATTTATATGAAGGCTATAGGAAGGTATAGACTTAGGCGCGCAAATGTGGTATATGTGGTATATGGGAAGTATGCTTTGAGGCGCATGATAGGCTTGTGGCCGCCTGTGACGTAAAGGAAAGAAATTTTATTGCACCTTATACAAAATATTGAAAATATTAAACAGAGTTCTGCGTATAACAAATTCATAAGTATATTTGTAGATCTAATGCCTCAACTTTACTACCAAATAAGTGAGGTAAGATAACCAATTATAATTATTGAAGTAACATCACTTCACTTTATCCATAAGTTTACAGGCGAGGTATAATCACTCATATTCAAAAAAAAAAAAAAAAAAATTTAAGTTTCGGTTATAAAATAGTTATATATTGGTTATAAAATGGTTATATATTGGTTCTAAA